GTGTTCAGGAGTTTCTGGCTGCTCTTCATGTCCATCAGACCTTCAACACTCGTGGAATCAACCTGATGGAAGAAGAACAAAAAAAGACTTCATTTTTATCTAAACTACCTAAGACAATAAAACTTAGATGTCTCCATCAGAGTGCTGTGGACAAGGCCTTACAGAGTCCAAATGGACACCTGGACTTGTTCCTTCGCTTCCTCCTGGGTCTTTCACTGCAGACCAATCAGACACTCTTACAAGGTCTGATGACAAAGACAGGAAGTAGCTCACTGATCAATCAGCAAACAGTTCAGTACATCAAGGAGAAGATCAACGAGAATCTGTCTCCAGAGAAAAGCATCAACCTGTTCCACTGCCTGAATGAACTGAATGATCGTTCTCTGGTCCAGGAGATCCAACAGTCTCTGAGATCAGGACGTCTCTCCACAGATAAACTCTCTTCTGCTCAGTGGTCAGCTCTGGTCTTCATCTTAGTGACATCAGGAGAAGATCTGGATGTGTTTGACCTGAAGAAATACTCTGCTTCAGAGGAGGCTCTCCTCAGGCTGCTGCCAGTGGTCAAAGCTTCAAACAAAGCTCTGTGAGTACTGACAGAATTTGGGTTTGGACACCAAGTGCAAAAAACCAGAAAGAGTGACTATTATCCTGGTTAAACTAATGTTTAACTATCAGTTTCATAAATATATCTTTTATTGAAATAAACACTAGTCAAGTTGATTTACAGTATAAGATTTAGCTAAGAGACCTGAAAAAAGATTTTTGTATCTTAGCACAGAATGATTTATCTTTATCAAAGTGGAAAATAATTACTTAATTATTTGTTTTTTGTAAATCATGAATTATGTTCATCCTTGCTAGACCTAGTAACAGAAATTTAGTCACAGATAAGATTTTAAGTAAAGAAATTTCATGTAATCTTAATATTATATCTCAGCTTATTTCTGTAAATGCGTCTTCTCACCCCCCCATTCTAATCCAGCTGTATCTGTTCAACAAGTCCCTCTTAAAGATCTTTTTGGTTTCTCAATTATCTGATTTAACAATAAACTTGCTCTATAGTTGCACCATATCTCCAGTCTACCTGACTTAGTAGCCATCCCATATATCCATACAGGTGGAGAGATGTTGACATCCCCCCAGAAATCATTGTAAATACAGCTAAAGTAATCCCAGTTGGTCCACATGTCATTCTGATTGGAGGGGCTACCGGCTGCTGCCCTGGCAGCTCTGACTTTCAGAGAGCATCAGACACACTGGATAAAAAAGCTGCACCAAGGTGTAAAACTCAGTAAATCATTGGTCACATCAATTGTTCAGGGACTGTATGTTGGAACATAAAAAGGAATATTTCTCTGAATTTTTTCCTAACTTCCATCATGTTCTTGCTGATGAACTTAGAAGGATCAAAGACTTGGACGTAGAGTTAGAGTCGTACATTCAGCAGCAGGTAGAGCAGATAGGCAGGTTGATTTATTGTGCTGTTAAATATCTAACCCAGAAAGCCCGTTAGTTTGCAGGTTAAATACAGAGGAGACATTTTTTTTGGGACTAAAAAAATGTGTTATTGGAGAAACAGCAAGTAAATTTAGCATATTTCAGAGTAAAACAAGAATGCTTGACTCACCCGGTTTTCCTTAATATTACAAAATGGATAAAACAAACAAACAAATAATATAATAATAAAAGGGTTTTAAAAGTGACTACAGAGACATATTGTTGATGAGCTGGACTTTCTCTCCTCTTGAGAGATGAAGTTAGAGAATATTCTGGGAGATTGAACTACAGCAAATGCGCACCCGACTAATAATAAATAAAGAGAATATTTCTGTGCTGATACAGAGCTGAGCTTTTAGATCAAATCTAATATTTATCGTGAATCCAGGGACTTTCAGTTCATACTTTTTCATGACTTTAACAATCTCATCATCATATTACAATGACATTAGTTGTTCACTTATCCAGCAAATTGTGTTTTATAGATTATCTACATACATGGCTCTTAAAAAGTTCAAGTACAATTATTTTATTTCATTTTTTTGCTGATTTAGAAACTGATTTATTTTTATTTTTTCTCTTTTGATAGATATTATTTTCAGTTTAATTCCGCCTTAATGCTGGACTAAGTATTCCCGATTTAGAATTCATTCTTTCTCAGACTAATATTTTTCCATTTAAACCCTGTTTTTGTAAAGACAACATTTTTGGTTTATTTAGGTCATTTTATCTAATTTGACCTAAACTACATTAAGTCAGTTTACCAAGTCTTTTAAAG